TTGGATAAGGGTATTTTTTTTTGTTATGGTCCTTGTTTTCCTTTATTGATCTGAATTTGTTTAACAAAAAATCTCGTGTCATTTATTTGAATCATGTGATTGTGAGCTCTTGCAGGCTCACACAGGACCCTACTGGAGACAGGCCGCCGCTTGCTAAGGTAAGGCTAAACCAGTGTGACGATCAACGCCAAATCCACTTGCTGGTTTATCCAAATGTCACAGAACCGAACCATGCTATGTACTGCTGAGTGCTGACTGACATGATGAAATACTTAACTCACGAGCCTTAACTATATATATGTTCGAAGAAGAAAAAAAGAATATGTAACTACTAAGACGTTTTTTTAGTTTCAAAAAAACTACCAAAGACGTAATTCGTTATTTAAAACTCAAAAAGTAAATGGTTACGTAATGATAAGAGAGTTTGGAGAAAATACCATTTGTTTAGAGGATTAGATTTGAAATATCCTCATATTTAATTTTTAACATGTGTGGTTGGTGGAGTGGCTGAGGTTCGAAATATATGATGTTTTGTAAAGCGAATTATATGACGTATTGTATGTTTTCTTTGAAGGGGTTAATTTACCCAATAACATAACAAAAAAAACATAATTAAAATGTTAACCAAAAGCCCTAAATTTAAGGGTTGTGATTGTGACACATGGAGGTTTTGGATAGTTTTTAAATTATGTTTTTTTTTTTGTGTTATTGGGTAAATTAACCCATTTAGATACCGATGTCAATTAAAAAAAGGGTTACAAAAAAATACTTTAGTTAGTTTTGGAAATATTGATTTACATCTACAAAGTTCTTGACGTTCAAGAGCGGAAGTACATTAGCGAGCCTATTTATAGACATAATTTGTGAAATGCTTATTATTTAAATATTGTTACAAAATATTTGTTACCAACACTAGTATCACATATTAATTTATGATATTTGGTATAGAAATAGTGTCAGACGAAAACATGAATATTAACATAGTAAAAGTGTTTACAAAACCCTTAACTAGTGTGATTGCACAAACAACGACTTTAAATGATTTTTTTTGTCATGTTTTACCGATTTTAAGGCATGAAATGATGACATCCTATTTGACCGAATATGTAAGAAATTGGAGGATTTTTTTGTTTTTAAAAAATGAATTTATCTAACACCATTTAAATAGTGGAGAAAATCAGAGGAACGTGGAAAAAGTGGGAAGAATTTTTGTTTTTCATATCCAAAAACAAAAAAAAAGATTACTTAATTCAAGCTTTGTTTAAATTATTTACATTAAGACATTTATCTTGTTTGGAAAGTTTTGATTAACTACAA